CCCCAAAACCCCAAAACCCCAAAACCCCTCTTCTTTGTCATTTGATTGAAACCCTATATAAACATATTAATTTTAAAGACTCTCCAAATAAAATTTTGATTTATTGGATTATCATTTGATAAATAAAAATACACATTCTTGAAGGATATACTTTTAATTAATGTTCTGAGAGTTCTTTAAATAGCTTTGATACGAAGTATATTTAAAAGAGCAAAAAATTACTCCCATCTCACATCTTAACTTCACAGAGCATAAATTCCTACCAAAATCGTTCTAAATTAGCTCAAAATCTGTTCTCTGGATTCTTAAAGACCTTCATGTCTTGGAGGCCAGGCGGGGCTACAGCTTGAGGGTGGATTTTAGGGATTCTTGGTGAGCTCTTTTGGGTGAGGAGATTGGGAATTTTGGGCGTGGTGGAGAGAGGAGGGTTTGGGTTTTGAGGGGGTTTTGGGCATGAAAGTTTGGATATTTGTTGCGTTTAGGTAGTTTTGGAAAGCAGGGGGTTTTGGAGATTTATGTTTGAGATGTTGGTAAAAATCGAATTTTAGTGGCTTTTTATGCCATTTTTTGGATTTGGGGTTGTGGGATATTGCTTGTAAAGGTATCTGGATTCTTTTCTGAGCAAATCTAATCCCTTTTATCTATAGAATTAATGAGAAAGTGTTTTGTACCTTTAAATTAGTTGATCTCTGGTCATGAAATAAATTATTTCCTATAGATTAAGACAAATGTCATACCCACAAATGAAGATAAATCAAAGATTTTCAAACCCTGATAAGTGGAAGATCTCTTTCTATGTATCGTATTTTCTTTAAAATTTGAAAATCTGTCAAATGAAGTGTGTTCATCTTCTCCATCTATTTCATGGATATTAGACCTAGATTGTCTTAGGTTACTCTTGAAATCAGCTTTAGTCATTTTGATCTGTGCTTGTTTGTCTCTAGCATAGAAACTGTTTACTGTGCTATTCAAAGGCTTTCTGTTTTCACTGTTGGCTCCTCTGTTCAAAGTTCTAGATCATCAAATTAAAAGCTCTACTTTTTATCTTTGCGAGAAACCACAATTCGAGTTATTCAAGAATTTGAAACATTTGATCCTTTTGGGCTTGTGGCAACGGATCATCAAACTGTCTGAGAGCCTGCTCTGTGATTTTTAACAGTAAAGGTTCCCTAAAATTATCTCTGATATAACTTTTACTTCTTTTGGGACCTGACTCTGAAGTTGCAGAGTAGTGCTAATCACTTGGAGATTAGGCTTATAAGCCTGATCTTCCAGCATTCTGATTTTATGGTTATAGCTAAACCTTGATAAATACAGTAAAGCTTACTTCTGTTTAGGTTTTCTTAGGGAAATTTTTTGACAATTTTCGAAAACGGTTTATATTATTTTCTAATCTAGATATCATTTAAAAACGGATACTTTCAAACTTTGCAAACGCTCCTCGATGAAGCTCTTTGCTAGATGTCTGGCTCTAATTTTATCCCTGTAGATGATATTTTAGGCTTACTCTTGTTCAAGATCTGAAGAAGACTCTGATTTTAGAATTTTCTGTGAGAAGTTATGACCCAAGGAATGTAAAATTTTATTTCAAGCTCAAATTTTCTAAAAGAATATCTCTATAGATTATTTGTCTGAAAATAGTGATTCTCTCAAGCATCCCAGCTATTTTACAAATGATTTCTTTCCAAGCTATCCGAAAAGTCATAAGAGGTATAAAATTGCTTCTAAACTCACTTTACCTCTGAATTTTCTATACTTCAGTTCATTTTTATTTTATGTGTAATATTTCAACTTGAAGTTCCTAAATAGGGGTTTTGGGGTTTTGGGGTTTTGGGG